TGAACCCACTTATAAATATGTGTGGAAAACAGGATATCTAGTCTAAACACTCAGATTGTCACATGGTACCACAGTAACCACGGCCACAGTTTCCAGGGGAAACAATAACCATAACTAACACAAACAAGCTTTTTCAATGGTTTCCTGCCTAGGCAGAAACTCCCTTTCTGGTTAGGGCAGATTTTCACTGAAGAATGACAAAAACACCTTTCCATACCTTTACCACGCGTTTCTCAGCCTCCGAAAAGCCTCGAAGGGCTAAAGGCCATCAGAAGGAACTCCTAAGGCAGCCAGCTGGCGCCTGGGCCAACCTGCTGGGGTGCAGGGCCGCACACACAGCCTCCCGACTTCCACGCTGGGGAGGCCTGCCACTCCCCTCAGAATCGCCCCACCCTTAGGTCACCTCTCCTGTGAAAGGGGGAAGCAGAAGGAGGATTACTGTGACTACTTCTCCAACATTTCTGGAGGCAAACAGTCAGCTGCAGACCTCTAGGCTGTCATATTGTTTGCTCTGCTCTCTGTCCCAACACCCAATGAATGCTACCAGAGGAGGTAGCAGCAGCAAGTCCAAGGGCCTTGCCCTCTCCATGGCAGCTTCCTCATCACCAAACAAAGGGGGTCTGACGGAGGCAAACACAGATCCTCTGGCTTAAAAATATACTAGAAGCAAATACATTAGAAGCCTGATAAAAGCAGCCTCTAAAACAATCTAAGTCTGTTCTATTCCCTAAGCTTCTGTACTACTCAGTGACTAAAGCCTGGAGTTCCTCAACTTATCAGAACCAGTGAGACTAAACTATCTAAATTCACAAGATAAACCAAGTTAGGATAGACAATCACAAACAAAATCTAACAAAGTTCAGGCTTAATGAGGGGTAGTGCCTACTCCTTTGAAAATCGAATGCTAAGAAAAATAAGAAAGTTCATTTGAACACCTACTATGTGCTGTGTACATGGAGTAGTTCAAGTACTTTACAGCTTGATGACTGTCACACTGTCAAAATCAGACAGATAAATGTAAGAAAGAGAAAAAGAGGGAGGACAGAACTATGGAGAAGGGAAGGAGAAGAGAAAGGAAAAATGGATGCATAAAAGAGAAAGAAGACAGGTGAAAGGGAGAAGAAAGCAAACAGGGCCCTCTACTTGGTTCACCCTGTAACTAAGTGACAGCCCACCTCTCAGGACATTCGGGGTTCTCACACATGACTGCATTTAGGGAATAGATGCTGGGGCTTTGCCTTCAGGAAGGGTACTGATCAGTGTTGGTTAAATGATTAAACTAGAGATCCATTTTAATCTACAATGTAGCCAACTACAGAACTAATTGCACTGGTCCATATTCTAGAAGCACAAATCTGTGCGTGTACAGAGAATCAATTTTTGTTTGTTTTTAACTAGAAAAAAAAAAAAAAAACCCTTTCTATATATCTGAACCTGTTGATCAATGGTTCTCTGCTAGACCACAATCAGTCATGGATGGGACTAGTGCTTCAAGTTTTAAACAAAACACTACACGAGTGATTCCAGATGTGCAACCAGGATCAAGTGACACATATATAATGGAACTTTCCTGATAATGGTGTGTGTGGTAGTGGATTGTTAGAGCCAGCTACTCCATCATATGAGTTCTTACAAAAGTTAGAGGTGCTGTTCATTTAAAAGGTCCAGTGGCTGAGGGACACTAATATATGCAGTTCAGGTCCTTGCAGCGAAAACAGCAGAACAGTCTCTTGTTAAGAGGTTCTACCAGGTTTGCAGGTGAATGCAAGGCAGCAAGTATCAGGAGGTAAGCAGCACCTGGATTTAAATGCCAGTTCTGCAACTGTGCAGTCTACTAGGGATGTGCACCTAGGAAAGTGTATTTACTCTACCTAAACCTTAGCATTTTCAGATGCAAAACTGGGTTAACATACCATTCACCTCCTGGATAAATCTGGATGTTTAAAATGTATGGAAAGCACTGGGAACAATGCAACACATATTCTCTCTCATGCAGGGACAACTGTGGGTCCCATCCTTTGATCTACTTAAGAAGAGTCCAAAGCCTCATACGGTCAAGTAAAAGCCCCTCAACAGTTCAACCCTCTGACTCCTTGAAAGCCAGCTAGACAACTTAGCAGAGTGGAGATACAAAAGCTAACTAGGCAAAAGGCAGCTCCCTCCCTCACACCTCTCCCCTTATGCCTCCATAACCCAAAACAGCTAAAACAAAAGAACAGTCAGAGTGTCAGGCAGATCCTAGTGAGCTGAACTTTTTTACAAAAAGGTTAGGAAGCCAAATTTAACTTTACCCACTGAACTTCTATCTAGAGGTGCTTAAATATCACCAACTATGCAGTACCCCTCTCTAAGCATTCAATGGTTTCTAAATCAATGTTAGAAGACTAATGGTGGGCAGGGGGATGGGGGGGCTGCAATGTCATTTTGTGCAAGGTATATGTCCTGCTCATGGTGTGCAGGTGTGGCCTCGCTCGCTACACGCCAGCGCAGCTCTAAGGATTCCGCACACATCAGCTCAGCTAAAACTCACCAGGATCCTTTGAGTAGGTGCTACTATTATCATCCTCAAGTTAAAGAGGAGGAAACTCAGGCACAGGGAGGTTAGGTAATGTGCTGCAGTCAGACCGCTTGCAAGAGGCCAAGGTGGGATTCAAACCACGGCAGCCTGGCTCCAGAGCCATGGTCCTGGCCCTTCACCACGGGGTTCACTACCACTGCCTCTTGGCACAGCCATAGGATGAGGTTCAGTTTCAAAAGCACCTTTCTTCTGAGTTCCCAGTGTGTGTTTCATTTATCCTCCCAACAACCCTAAAAGGCAAGTAGGAGACACACAGTATCTACATTTCACATACACATAAAATGGAAGCAGCATCAACGAAATGTTTTACAAGCTCCTATGTGGTCAATCAAGACAACTGATTTCACAGTATTCATTCCCAAATTAAAGTGTCGAGTTCTTTGTCTTTGAATATTTTAGTTTGGGGGTAACTACCTCAAAAGACACCAGTGACATGTCCAAAGACCTTGATGCTAGTCCAAAGCAAGTTTTCTGACTCTCAGACAAGGGTTTCTCAGTGAATCATGATTACAAAAACAGTATTCATGTGCCTCACAACTTACCAGAAGTCCTAAATGCTAACCATATAACTAATGTTTGTTGAAAATAATAAGTGTATTTGTGTACTAGCTCTCTTAGAAAAATTAGGTTCTCTTAAAATGTATTAATCAGAAAACCTTAAAATTTTGAACTGATTTAATCACAAAATAAAACATGACAATAGAAATATTTCTGCACCTTTTAATGTCTCTTCATCTCCTACTAAGGCTATAAATAAAGTTATCTGGCTCTCTCAAGTAGATGGGGGCCCACAGGAGAGCTGACTCTGTCATCAGAGAACTTGTGACTCCCCAGGGAACCATGGGCCAGCTCATSCCTCAGGAAGAGGAGTGGAGCTGACAAGCAGTCACTGTCCCCTAAAGCCCTGTGAGTCTATGAACTGTGATTCAGGCACCATTCCTTTGGTGCTAGAAGGACATGGCATCAAAAGAACAAATAAACAACGTACCTAAGGCCAAAAAAAAAAGTTTCTGGATCTGGAAAATTTCTCTGCACAACAGTGGAACACATTATAATAAAAAATCACCTTAAAATTCAAGGTTCAGCAAGGAAGCTGCTCTCAACCACTGGAACACTTATCACAGGGGCTTTACAATCATAGGATGAGTTGTCTATTTGTATTCCTCAACTCTGATATTTTTCAATTCTGTGAAAAGAAAGGATACCCAACAGGGCGAAAGCAGCTTTCCAGGTAAATAGGTGTAACAGGCAAAAACAAAGCCTGTGAGCTAAAGTGTTCGTGAGAGTTCCAATCTCCAATGAACAGCTCACCACAACTAATTTTAATTTGTGGTTCTAATGAATGATATAAACTTTTATAGGTATCAACAAAGCTCAGAGAGGACTTAAATCCATTTCAGTACTCATTTAGCAGCTTCAGCTGTRTGCAATTAAAACATCAGCATTAAATGTTAGAGAATAAAATAATGAGACACTTAAAAAATCATCTGTGCTTCACTGGGCCATGCAAGAGAGTCCACAGTTGGTTTTTTTGTTTTGTTTTGTTTTGTTTTTAAGAATACAATTTCTTGGAGTATTTTGCCAGTTCAAAGAATTAACTCAAGTTTGACTTTTGGTTTTGGTTTGTTTTGCTTTTAAGAATTTTCTGAAAAGAAGAAGACTACAATAAAAATACATTATTTGAAAAGCAATCATGAAATAAGAACAAATGGCAAAAATCAATCTGATATAGGGACCAGCAGAGCTCACAGATAAAGTTTCAGCATAGACAAAACCACATTTTTTGGTCAAATTAAAACTGTGACTTTTCCTTAATTTAGGTCTCAAAGAAATAAAACATTAAAGGAGGTGGGAAAGGCAAACACTGGTAATGAAAATAGCTTACATTCTTCCAGCCCTTAAATGAAATTAAAAATAAAACTCTAAACTTTTCCTCCCCACAATATTTGAGAATACAAAATATAACCTGAGGGTGCAGAACCTGGCTGCTAAGACTAACAAATTCAAGTTGCTACTATTCTGAAGGGAAGACAAGTCATCATCCTGCAATGGCAGGGCTGTGTGGTGACAGTAGGGGAGTGACAGGGAGTGGCAGTGGAGTGGGGGTAAGGGGGGTGTGCATTACATATGAATGTCACTTAATTCAGCTTCTGCAAAACACTGGTAGAAGAGGAACTATCCTGTATGGGGGAATGCACTCACTAAACTTAAATTTTAAAAGGATGAAAACACAGATTACATTTTATTTTATAAAACTGAAATGAATTTTAATACAAAAAATGAAGACAGCATTTTGTAAATTTATCGCTCAAAGGGGTATCTCTATCTGAGGAAATCAGCGTGCTACACTTTGAGAGATGAAATGTTACAGCTTGTACACCAAAATTAAAAATGAAATTAAATTAAAAAATGAAATGGTTACCAAGGTAATGCAGGTCAGGGGATCAAAGGTGAAGGGTCACACATTATTAAAAAGAAATCCAAAAGGACGGCTGCATCATGATCTCTGCAAAACAAAGGAGCTCCAGTAAGTACAACCAATATCTCTGAGAATTTTAAATCAAGCTCTTGAAAAGACGACTCCCTGGTAATTGAACATGGTCATTCCTGATTCCATATAAAGCCATTTTCATTTAGGTACAAAACCAATTTTTAATTACCTGTTACCAACAACAACTTTGTAAACATTTGGCCATTCAATCATATTAAAATTCAAAATATCTCAAATTGACATTGATTGGGAAATAGTGATATTTCAGTGGGAACCCACACCCTGTTTTCTGGAAATGACAGTGTTTGATAAGTTGCCAACATATCAGAAATCTAATTTGGTCACAGCATGGTGAGTTTTTTTCCCTCTCCTCAAGGAATGAGTTCCAAAATTGAGTTTTTTGCAAATTTCTTTCATTTGAAGTAGCTGCATAAAATTTCCATTATTGGAACATTTAGTATAACAATGTTCTAGAAGATAGCAATAAAGTGATACATGATAAAATAAACTGTGTAACTATATCTATTAAGATCTGTTCTCACATTCGACTTTCACTGCACAGGGGGGGAAAAAGACATTTTAAGCAAAATAACTTGCTAGTCCTACGGGAATTACAAGGAGTTAATACAGGCTTGACACGAAGAAGATCTACAAAGGGAAAAAAGCAAGTGACTTAATTTTTCAACAAATGTTACTCTTTCCCATTAACAAACTAATTTATGTTTTTAAAACGAAAAGAGCTAAATTTTGTTTTGAAAAATGTAGCTAACACCTAAGTCACAACACATTTGCTTAACTTTCAGCAACAGTAAATTAACTGTTAACAGTGTAACAATTAACTGTTACAGTAAACAATTTCAATATTCATTTCACTAGTAAATAAAACGAACAGTTGAGCCTACTACTAAGATCATCTTCAGTATTTCATCTCTGAAAACTAAGCTTGAGAAGCTACATTCCCTGATTTCAGAATCCAAACTTCTGTGTACTGGACAGCAAGTTCTAAGAAGCAACACACATTACATCCTGCCACACAGGAGAGCAGGTGAAGCACAACTAGCAAAAGGACCTTGACTTGGTTACAATTCTTTCATAAATCCCCATTTGCCATTTCTACCTACATTCTCCCAGGTCAGCTCTGCCCCACAATACAACACTTAACTGTCCAAGAGGATTTTATTAAAAGGAACAGGATATTCTTTCTAATGACTTATGGCAATCAATAAACAAACAAACTATAAATGCCAGATTTTTGTTCCCTCTGATCAGGTTGTGTTAAAATAACTTGCAGAGCTTCATGCACTGGATATAAGTGGGTTAGTGCCTTAAGGCCACATTTCTAAAAACATGACTTTTTCCCTTTAAGTTGCACAGCTACTGAAAAGTAAAGCAGCATTCCATTTTTCTGGAATGCTCCTCTCACACAGTCACATATGCATTTGTTGCTAGGAGGCATGCAAGCAATTCTGAACACTACAGAAGGAATCAATACCCATCAAAACAATGCATACGTTGTTTTAGTTGCATCATTATTTAGACCATTTCAGCATGTTTCTAACAAAAGGCAAGAAGCCAGCAGTGTGACGTTAGTCAAGTTTTGTTTTCCTAATATCTCTTAGTAAGGAAAAGCAACAAGCCTAGTCAGAACAAATAGCTCCATGGGCAATATTCATTTCCAAAATCTGTATTTTTAAAATAATCTCTTAACAATAGACAATGAAGTATTTATGGGTGACTTTAAAAAGTGTTCTAAGTTATGATTAGAATTCACTAACTCACCAAAAAAAAAAAAAAAAAAAATGGTGCCCTAAACTTCTACCAGTTAATGCCTGCCAGAAGTGCCAGACACCAACTGCCAGAGGATGCCCCCACCTCCAGGTAGTCAGGAATTGTTCCTCAGCACCTGAATATTACAACCAACAGAATCCCCACAAATGATTCCATGGAACTGAGGCCATCTTTCCACCTAAATATTTAGCAGTTCTGACAAACTACCATTGAAGGAAATTGTGCCAAAATTAAAAATGTTTTAGCTGATTTAAAAACAAAACATCAATGAAGGATCTTAGGAATGTTTTCCAAATGAGTTTGTGATTGGGAAGGTAAGGGCAGTAAGCAGTTCACCATGGTCCTCACAAGGACCCCACAATACAAGTAAGCAAGCAAAAAGCAGCTGGAAACTCTCAGGGGCAACACAACCCCAGCCAGTAGCTAACTGCCACATCCTGCCCTCCCCCACAACAGCAAGAAGAGCCAATTCTCAGAGCCAGTCCACTTACAAAGGAGGTATGGGAAACTCACATATATTTTTCCCACAGGAACAATGCAGTAAGCAGCTATTATGGTTGACACCTGCCTATTTGCCCTGGAAACTGTTAAAATGACGACAGTTCTGCTCTGAATTCTTAAAGGTGACTGGACCTAAGTAGCTTCCCCCAACATACCCCAAGAGGTTAGCCCTGGTCCTAAATTGGATTCAAGGTATTCTGTCTGTGGAACCTCCTTCCGGCCTCCTTCCCAGGCCCCAGACAGCAGTGGCTCATGAACTAGAATGACCCATCTTCCCTATCCAGCAGCTTCCCATTTCCTATGGCCACGGCCCGTTAATGACTGAATKAACTGAATTAATACTAACAGACTGAAAGGTGATCATTAATCCAAAGCAAACCCCCAAACAGTCAACCTGCAAGATATTTTCATAGGGAGAGGTACAGAAGGATAGTCAACCTCGGGCAGACTTGTTACAATTATAGCTAGTCTCTTTCTGTAACTAGTAACTGAATTAAAGAGAGAAAGAACTCAAAAGCCCCAATCAAATCCCCAAAACCTATGGGTGTAAGCACAGTATACATGCTAGTCTAAACCTGGAAATGACTCTGTGCCACCACACTCATGAGCTACCAGCCTAAAAGAAGAAACACACCGAGCCCCTTCTGATGGAACATCAAGTCACTAGTGCTCCAACAAAAGGTCTTTCTCCAGGGAATTCTCACCCACAGTGAGCACCACCTGGAACTGAGATGTGTACTCTCCATTACATTTTGGCTTTGATTGATTGATTGATTGATTGATTGATTGATTTAGCAGTAGAGGTGAGGAGTGAATGTCATCTATAAATACGAAGAATTGTTTCAACTCTCAGACACAGAGCAAAAATGATATTCCTAAGAAGGTTAAATTATGACAGAAATGCTCCCTTTTTACCTCAAGCATATTCCTTCAAAATAAATACATGGAAGAACTGGAAATAAATAAAAATATAGTAAAGAAATTCAAAGAGTAAGAGAAACTAGGTGACAGTTGAATCCCACACATTTTACCAATTCTTAAAAAAAAATAGCTATTAACTCAATGATATTATATAATGCTTTCTGCAGTGGAAACTAACTTCAGTACTGGACACAGCAATGCACTCCTGTAATCCCAGCAGCTCGGGAGGCTGAGGCAGGAGGATCTCAAATTCAAAACTAGCCTCAACAACTTAGCATGACCCTGTTTCTAAAGAAAATATACAAAGGGCTGGAGATGTGGCTCAGTTAAGTGCGCCTGGGTTCAATCCCTGGTACTACCCCCCCTCCCAAAAAAAGAGACCTAACTTCAGCAAGTGTATTCAGCAACTAAAGAAACACCCAACCCAAAGCCAGTTACAGTGATGGGGCAAATTTTATTTTTAATCTATAAACATCATAAATAAATCATGCCATTCAATAAAATGTAAAATGCACTTGAGCTAAATATATTCTCCAGTTAAGTGGGGATTATATTTCTATTCCATATCATGTTGTGATTTATGTTAGTTTTTCCCATGAAGAATAAATGCCATACAATGAAAACCCAAAGAAAAACAGCCTTTGGTTCTAATGTGCAAGCCCCATCCACATGGCACCCACCAGTCACTCCTCTCCCCTGCCACCAACAGTCACATCTCCACCAACAGTCACATCTCCGCCACTTTCCCAACCCTCCAAAAAGTACATTTCCTGTCAAACTTTTCAGAAATGGTCTAGAATACTTGTCGGTTTCTCAAAACTTTCTATAAATGATATGGTAACCTACACCTATAATCATCATATTATTTCCACTATATTCCTCAAAAAGAAATCAAAAACTGAAACCACAATACGTTCCTACCTACCATTTTACCCTCAACAAGGAAACTTTTTCCCCATAGCAGTTTCAAAGATTTCACAAAGAATAAAGAGAGTGGGAAGAAGGGCCTGCAAGACAGAAATGCTTCCATTTCTTCTGATTGACACTTCTGATTGATGCATGTGCTTACCATCATGGTGTGGGGACATCATGCAGTGTCTACCTTATAAGGCAGACACAGGAATGTGCAGTTTAATAGAAAGACAAATGAAACATGTTCTCACTTCTACAGAAGCTAAAAAGCTGACATCATAAAAAAGCAGATGTAGAATACTGATTACTAGAGCCTTCGAAGGATATGAAGAGGAGGGCTGGTTAACAGGTGCAGAAGGCAGGTGGATAGAAGGAATAACTTCTAGTATTCTATAATGTTCTATAACACCATAGGATAACTACGGTTATGACAACTGTACGTTTCGAAATAGCTAATGAAGAGGATTTGGGATATTCCCAACACAAAACACAATGAATGAATGAATGAATGAATGAATGAATGAATGAGTGAGTGAGTTAATGGATATGCCAAAAACCCCGACATGATCATTACACATCATACATGTGAACTGAAACATCACACTATACCCTATCACACTGCAGTTACTGTGTGAATCAAAAATAAAAACTTCATCTTAAAAAAAGAATGTGTAACTTATTGTATGCCAACTGCTCCTCAATAAAGTTGTGTAAGAATAAGAACAGCAGACAGGAGCTCATGCCAGGGATGTGCCTTCCCCCTGCACAGTTAGAGCCGCATCACTATGCTGTGGCTGCCCATGCAGAGAATGCCAAGAGATGCACAGGGAAACCCATGGAGCTACTGCACCAGAACTGCTTCTTGTCTTCCTGTAACTTGAGACAATGAAAGA